CAGACTAGCGTCTCTAGTAATAATTTTTAATTTCTATTTTTTCTTTTATTTATTTATTTTTATTTTTTAATTTTTAATTTTTTTTTTTAATGAACACTATCTGCACTTCATTTATTGCGCCTTTTGTAATATTTTATTTTTATTTTTAGAGTATAAGCAGCGTTCCTTCCATGTAACATCTGTGTATTTTTATAAAAACATAATATATAACTTGTGCCGGATGAGCTGGAAAACCAGCGAAACTTAAGTCGCACACCAAAACCTAGGTATACGTATATGTGTAGTTATTAATATATATATATATATATATATATATATATGTATATATATATATATATATATATATATATAAATTTAATGATTATTTATTTCCTTGCTTTTGTATGCACGCGAGTATATAGTTGCTTATATCTGGTCATTTGATTTACTTAACTCTATATATATATATATATATATATATATATATATATATATATATATATATATATAAACATACACACATATATATATATATATATATACACACACATATATATATATTATTTTATATGCGCAGTATTCATTGGAAAGTGCCCAATATCAGTGATAGAGGTAACATATTCAGTTTTTGGGATATGAGTTTGTGACCCTGGGTTTTACGATTTTGCGATCATCAGACAAAAATCTTTTGTCTGATGATCGCTTTTGAAGGCACCGTTACTTGAATAATATTATGGAGGTAGGAGAGCCTGGGCAGGGCCTTCCTCCCCCTACCCAGGCTCAACTCTTGAGCGACGGTTCGGTTCCACTCTCTGCTTTCGGGCGGGAGGAACCCGAAGGAGGCTACTCCGAAGGGCGGAGTCTCCTTAGGGGAGGTAGACCGGCCCTGAACCCGTTTATAAGGGTTCAATGGGTATATTTTTTGCCGAGCCCGCGGGCTCGGAGTGCCCACGTTAAACCGGCCTTGTGCCACATGACGCCCTCGTGGGGGGACGACTAAATATAGTCCATAATATGATTCCAGTAACGGTGCCTTCTTCTTCTCCCCATACCTACCCTATAACATACTCTCTTTCTTTCTTTCTCCAAATAAACATTACACTACAAACTAATACCATAAACAATTTAAAAAATTCTGCGAATTTTAAAATCAAAATTCGTAGATGAAAATGGTCATTTACTAAAGGTAATTCCAATTGTAAAGTATATATATATATATATATATATATATATATATATATATATGTGTGTGTGTGTGTGTAGTCATCCACAGACAGACTGTTTCACAGCTCATCAGTGTGGCTAGTCGTCCGTTCTATCACTAAGCCGTCGGCGCACGGTAGTGATGAAGGTGAATTTAAGCGTATCTATTTTTAGATATACACGCAGTGACTAAGATGTACAAATTCGCATTACCGAAGAGTCTTTTTCATTGGTCGTCAAATAAACGTTTAGTTGACGACCAATGAAAAACTCTTCATTAATCGTCAACTAAACGACCATATATATATATATATATATATATATATATATATATATATATATATATATTTACGGTCGTTTAGTTGACAACTAATGAAAATTGTTTATCATATTTTCTTCGGTTCGAACCAATTCCCTGGTTTTTGAGTAAAGCCTGAAGATTTCTAATGTCTCCCCAGCGATTTCAGGTTTCAGCTTCCGTTAACAAAGATTGGGGGGTGGTGGGTGAAAGTGTGTGTCTATAAATGTGCATTAATTTTCTTTGTGATTTGCAAGTATCGCGTCTTTACGTGTCAGCTTGTTGCATTATGGATTTTTTTTTAGCTTTGAAATACATTTAATGTATTTGTCCCTAAGTTGAATGAAACGTTATTGTTGCTGGATTGTTTATTTCTTATTTTTTTATGGTTCAATTTTTAAATATTTTTAGTCTTTTTTTCATTTTATATATTACATGCCTTAACTCTAGAAACAAACAAAGCAGCGTCTGTCGAACATAAAGCCCATTTTTCGTGAGAAAATAAATGCAAAAATCAATACCAATTGTCCCAACAACACAGCATTGCCTCAAATCATTTTTGCCATTTTCGGTATTTTTCAACTATTTCTATGTGGCCTGAACAATGATTGCACAATCACAAAGAGAAAACAAATTCCAATATGATAATTGTGTAACGATGTCGAAAGTATCTGTCCATTTTAGTGATTCTGCATCTCGGAAGTTGATGCTTTGTCATGCGCAATGTGATGGGTGTATTTAGTTCCGGTAACAGATCGACTCGGTCTTGCCATTATAGCCTTTGGGTTTTCTCTTATTGTTTCCTAGCAACAATGTAATCTCGCCTTGGACGAGAGTTGAAGGCAAACCAATCAGGGATTGACTTACATTACTTACATCGCTTATAATATAAGATAATGGGAAAATGAAAAGAGACATAGAGTGAAGAAGAGAAGGAAATAGGGAGAAAAAAGAAACCAAAATAAGAGGTAGAGAGTATTGTGTGCATAATAATTAAAAATAAAGAATTGCTACTAATGGTTTCCTCTCATGATTCACTGTTTTTTCTTTCTTATTTTCAAATCCTTTTGTATAGTTTTCATTAGTGAACGCAGAACCAATGAAAGGAAATATGTTACGTATCTTCTTAAGAAAGATTTTAGTAATGTGGGAAAAAAAGATGGGTTCTATCGAAATTAAAGTCAAGCTGAGTGTCCCACTAAAACTGAGAAGCTGCAACAATTTTGGAAAACGGGTATTGAAAACACACTCTTTGGGTCCTGTCACTGGATCTTACCAACGCCTTTATCCACTGTGCCATGTGTCCATGAGGCAGTGGAGAACTTTCAGAGCGAAATTAACAGGAGATAACTGATAACTGACATCCATTAAACATGGCACGTGGAACTAGAAAAGTCTACCCCAGTGAGTGAAATAAAGGGTTCAGTTCGACATTTCAACCACCTGAAGAAGGCCGGAGCGTACAACGGCCAAAACGTTGTAAGAAATATGGCGACAAAGATGAGGTCAATAGTCCGAATAATGTAAATAATGTACATAATACCTTATCTCAGAAATATAGACAGATACTGAAAGGCCGAAACGTTGTAATAAATATGGTGACAAAGATGAGGACAATAGTCCGAATAATGTAAATAATGTACGGAAGTTTATAAAAGTTAAACATGTGTTTTGTACAGCGAAGCCTAAGAACGAACGCGGCCACTCTTAAGATTGCCCAAGGACTTCTTTTCTTGCTGAAAATAGTTCTGAAAAAAAAAGTACGTCTTATACAAATGAGAAAACACTTCCTTTTAAAAATATATTGCATCAATCAGGGTTTTATTTCTTTTGGTCATTTATAAAGATTATTCAATGCATCTGAGGAAAAACTAAAAGACAGACAGAAAAAGATACAGAGAAAATGTCTTTCCATTTTAAAACAGGAGAAATGAAACAAGCTGAACAAAATTTGTTCCTTCACTCAGAAGCGTTTGTTCGACTAGAAGAAATGAAATGCTGGCATGAACCTAAATCAGAGATTAGATTCTTGGATACGTGTCTGCCGTATTGGTTCGTCTACTGCCAGGTGACAATAATATATGACTTAATGAAAAGAGAACTTATTGGCAATAGCCATCTTGTTAACGACGTGCTTTTATACGTGTTTTGTAAGATAATAACACTGAAGTGACCGCAGCCTTGGGTCAAAGGCTAAAAACCTAAATCTGACACCAGGATTGTATTTCGGACTGGCCGGAGCGAGAACAAATTGATGGCACGAAAGGCCATAAAGTTATCTTTGCAGACATGAAGACTGTCAGAAAGAATTTCGAAGTAGCACTAATGGCCGATTGCATAGAACGAAGGTCGTCATGTAAAAGTCATAACTTTAAATCTTACAAGACAGTTTTCATCTATGCGTGCCACATAACTAAAGAGACTGATTTCGCATGTCTTGGAGACAAATCGGTCTTTATATATGTTACAACCCGTTAAGCAGAATAGACTGGATTTCTTAGCCTTGGTCACAGAACCAGTCTAGGAGAAGGGAATTCAAAACCAGAATGATGCATGCTGGGTTCTGTCAGATTATCTTACCCCAGCCACGCCCATTGATACTTTGTTTGCAGTACATGGAGTGCTACTACGATTTTAATAGGGAATGGAGTTGTGTTATTGAATAGACGGACGATGACAATCATGCATGCAATAACTGTTGATTTCAAAGAGTGTCTTTGATGTTGTAGACATTATGACATTCGGCACCCTTCTGCGCCCCTTTGTGGAGAAAGAGTGAGAGAAAGAGAGAGGGAGAGAAAGAGACAAAGAGAGACATAAAAAAGAGAGAGATAAAGAGAGAGGGAGAAAGAAAGAGAAAAGATAAAGACAGAGGTGAGAAGAGAGAGATAAAGAAAGAGACACAGAGAGAGAAAGAGAGAGATAAAGGAAGAGAGAGAGAGAGACGGAGAAAGAAAGAGAGAAAGATAAAGAGAGACAGAGGGAGAAAGAAAGAGAGCAAGATAAAGTGAGAGAAAGGGGAAGAGAAAGAAAGAGAGGGGAAAGAAAGAAATAGAGAAAGAGGGGAAGAAGAGAGAAAGAAAGAGATAGAAAGAGTGGAGGGGAAGATGGAGAAAGAGAGAGGGGAGAGAAAGAGAGAGAGGGAGAGAAAGAGAGAGAGGCGAAGATGGAGAAAGAGAGAGAGTGAGAGAAAGAGAGAGAGGCGAAGATGGAGAAAGAGAGGGGGAGAGAGCGAGAGAGAGAGAGAGGAAGATGGAGAAAGAGAGAGGGGGAGAGAGAGAGAGAGAGGAAGATGGAGAAAGAGAGAGGGGGAGTGAGAGAGAGAGGAAGATGGAGAAAGAGAGAGGGGGAGAGAGAGCGAGAGAAAGAGAGAGAGAGCGTGGTTATGTGATCCGTTGTATTTGTTACCAAAGGGAATTTATGAGTGAAGCAAGTGAAGTGAACAATTGTGTTGTTGTCGTTGTCTGTGATGCATTAGTGGCGTTTTATGTGGATAGATAGTAGCTTAATGGTCGTCGGAATGTCATCGAAATACACGGGATGCCGGAACACACAAAGCATAACCATACAAATCAGTCGGAATCACATCAATATGGCCGTCATGCCACTTAACTTGTCTACGTTATCAATAGCTTTCATCTTTATTTGTCAATGATTTTCGCTCTTTCGTTTCTGGCTTTTTGGTTTTTCATCGTTTTTTTTTCTTTTTTCTTCTCCAATTTTTGTTTCCTTACTTGAGTTCTTCCTTTTTTTTTTCATTTCATTCTTTCTATTTTTATTTATTCTTCCCTCGCTTACATTTTCTTTTCCTCTTTTTTTGGCTTTCAACTTTAAAAAAAATCCTTTATTTATTTATTCTTAATTTCATTCATACTGTTTTTTTTTTCTTATTCCCTCCTCATTTGTTTTTCATGTTTTAGTTTCATTTATTTCCTTTTCATTTCGTTCAATTTCTCTATCAATTACTCCCCTCTATCTATTCCTCTCCTCTATCCATTTCCCCTCTTTATCTATTCTTCCCCTCTATCTATTCATACACACTATCTATTCATCCTCTCTCTCTCTATTACTCCCCACTACCAATTCCTCTCTATCTATTCCTACTCTTTCTCTATTCTTCCCCTCTATCTATACCTCCTCTCTATCTATTCCTTCTCTATTCCTCTGTCCTATCTATTCCCCCTCTATCTATTCCTCCTCTCTATCTATTCCTCCCCTCTATCCATTCCTCCTCTCTATTTGTTCATCCTTTCTATCTCTTCCTTTCTCTCTAGCTCCTGTTTATTCTTCCTCTCTATTTACTCCTTCTCTCTATCTATCCCTTCCCTTTATCTATTTATTCCTCCTCTCTATTCCTCCTCTCTATTCCTCTTTTCTATCTATTCCCCCTCCTTATTCCCACTCTCCCTTTTTTCCTCCTCTCTATTCCTTCTCTATCTGTTCAACCCCTCTATCTTTTCTTTTTCTCTATCTATTCCTCTCCTTTATCTATTCCTCCTCTCTCTCTATTCCTCCTGCCTATTTATTACCCCTCTGTATTCCTCCTCTCCCTTTATTTCTCCTCTCTGTCTATTCCTTCTCTATCTATTTATTCCTTCTCTCTGTTCCTCCTATTTATCTATTCCTCCTCTCCCTTTATTCCTTTTCTCTATCTATCCCTCCTCCCCGTCAATTCTCCTCCTATCTTATTCGCTACTTCCTATTTTTCGCTTCCGATTTCCGGCCATTCTTGCTCTATAAGAAAAATCTTAGCTAAACTCTATTCAGTCGATCCAGCCATACACCTTACCGTCCCTTTCTCGACTGTTTAAAAGAAATGCCTAATTACCAGAAAACAATGGCCTACTTATTGTCCAAATTATTGGAATGATTATTGATGATGTCGATAAAATTTGTGTCTCAATATTTGCGGCCAGTTTATCTTAAGTTCTCTTTAAACATGGCACCTTCTAGTCTCAGAGAAAACAGCTTTCAGAATTTACGACCACACACACACACACACACACACACACACACACACACACACACACACAAGCATAGACATAGGCACACATACGTATCAATGTAAGAAATATGCGAAGGTTCATTAATAAATCCTGAAATGACACGTTGGTTGGTAAATTTTGATCTGAAATTTCCATTGTAATCTTTTAAGAGATTAATGGAAAAGCTTTGACTGATGTACATTAACAATGGAGTATATTATGTAGCTAAATATATGTTGTGTAAAATAAACTCTTTTTCTATAACTAGGCTACGGACTTATTGATGCACCTTCTTATGTGTGTGAGGGTAGGCGTCCGTCACAGTGTGACAGAAAATGCTCGCATATTAGTTTTAAAGACTTCTAAATTTTAATCTGAATTTTACCCCGAATTTTACTCAAAATTTTAATCTGAATTTTACACAAAATTTTACTCTGAATTTTACACAAAATTTTACTCAAAAATTTATTCTGAATTGTACTTTGAATTTTTACAGCGTAGAATATACCTTCCCTGACGAATTTGTATAATATTTATTTCATGTATGAGTTGTCCAATTTTCTCAGTTCCTCAGCTACTTTTGACAAAAACAGAATTGGTATTGTTTCGTAATACACGGGATAGGTTAGCACCCCTGTTAGCACCCCTGCCGCAAAAGTCCAAATAAAGGGTGAAAGAACAGAAGAATATTAAAAAAAAAAATAAAAATAAAAATTAACGGAAACATCCAACTGTTCAATTCTGGTACGCCGTTCGTAAGACATTTTGAAAATAGGTTATCTGGGACGACATTTTGAAAATAGGTTATCTGGGACGACACTCCAACACGATACTTGACTTGAAATGCAAAACCAGCACTTGTTCGGACTTTCAGAGGTATCTGATTCTTTCTTTTTATATGCCATGTCCTTTCAGGACGTAGGTGATCATGGCTCTTCACCTCCTTCTATCCCTTGCAGCTCTCAACAGGTTCTTTCCCTCTGCTTCCTTTCACAGATCACGTTCTGTCATCCACTTGCTTAATCCAGCCAGGTATTTCATGCGTTGTTTTCTCTTGTCCCTCTTTCCTTATATTCGACCTGTGAGTATCAGATTCTCCAGACCCTCCTTCCTCATTACGTGTCCCAGAAACTTCAGCTGCCTCTTCCTGATGTTAAGTACTAGCCTTCTTGTCTGCATCCTTTGTAAGACCTCATCGTTGCTCACGCGTTGAATTGTACCTTAACAGGACTTGTCGTGCACAGAAATAATCAGATTGCAAATGAGATGCATGAACGTTGCTAGCTATGCAGATGCACTTGGTAAGGTATGAATTCGTCTATTGTCACCCAGCTTAAATTAAGTGCCGTAAAAATCTACTGTGACAAGTCTAAATGAATATTTTGCTTGTTTTTTTTTCAAGGGATGAGGTATCGCGATTAACCTAAGTTAAAAACAAAAAATGAAACTAAATAAATTCATAGATATGCCTCTCCCCTATCGTATTCACCGATTGACACAAGATGCGAGAAGAAAGAAAAGAATCCACGTTTTGTACAACCAGCGATGGAACATTTGACTGAAATCGAATATTAAAGAATAAAACAATCTTTTGCTATTAACTCGAAAGTCAACATAAGTTATATATATATATATATATATATATATATATATATATATATATATATATATATATATATATATGATAAAAGTGTATGCAGACAGCAATCCTTCATTCATATATGTTTCATTAAATATATAAATATTGAGCTCTGTTGTAAATTAATGTTTTGAACGCTGAAATCTTACTCTTCGTTCTTTTACATTTGGATATATATATATATATATATATATATATATATATATATATATATCTATCTATCTATCTCTCTCTCTCTCTCTCTCTCTCTTTATATATATATATATATATATATATATATATATTATTTGGATATATATATACTCACATTTTACATTTGGATTTATAAACTCACATCAATCCATTTATATATATATATATATATATATATATATATATATATATATATATATATATATATATATATATATGACACATGAGACCATCAAAAAATTGTCTCGCTGTGAGGAATTTTAAAAAAAATCACCAAAAAGATGTGAAAAATGGTGTGAAATTTGCATTTAAACATGAAGCAGAGTGCCGCAGCTGGGTGTTTTATATATGACCTACCCCTGATATTGTGCACTTTAACTCCCCCCAAATATAGCATACATTACATCTATATTTTATCATATATATATATATATATATATATATATATATATATATATATATATATATATATATATATAACTATAGTAAATTTAAAGCCAAAATTTTAAAAATTCAGTAAAACATTAGATTAAGGAGAATATTTTCTGAAATTTTTCAGATAACCCAATATTTAAGAAATATATAATAAAGGTGATCCCATCATTTTCTTTAGTTATGCTTTACAGATAAAGTCTCCCCAGAACAAATTTAAAAAAAAAAAAAACTATTAAACAGATGCGTGGTATCTGTCCTCTAGTATGGCAGTGATTGCTGGACAATCTTCTCAAAGATGAAGAAGAGACTTGGATCAAGATAAAAGTGGTTATACAGAAGGATGCTGAGGATACCTTGGATCGGGCGTATGAGAAAGGATGAAGTTTTATAGAAAAGAAAAAGAAAAAGGAAACTTATACTTAACATAAGGCAGAGGCAGTTGAAATTTCTCGGGCATGTAATGAGGAAAGCGGGCTCACAGGACAGACAGAGGGCAAAAAGGACAGAATGAGCTTGACTAAATAGATAGTGGAACATGGATTAGGGGAGATAGCAAATAGAGAAAATTTATTAAAACCTACAAAGGACTGGAAGTTGTGGAGTGCCATAATCGCCCACATGGCACACAAAGAAGAATACTATCAACTAAAAAAGGAATTTTTCATTAAATTTTATTCGTCGACTTATTGAGGCGTGAGACAGGCTTATGAAAACAACATTTAAAGTTAATATGCATACATAATTTATAAAAAAACACTTTGGGCACTTTGTTTTTATTTTAACCCAGATACTTAGCGTTTATGGCTTCTTTAATTTATTAATCCTTTTGGTCGTCACAATATTATGATATTACTATTGAGTGAATGAATGTATAGGAATCTAAATCTGGGTGCTGAGTGTCGCTGTACATTTTGTAGACAGATATTTGATACAGTTTTCAGAAAAAAAATGCCGTAGACAAAAATAGTGCAATAATACATCCTGAGAACAAGTTCTAAAGAAAACAAGAGCATTCAAGAGAAGAAATAAATATATCTAGAAAAAAATGGTGCGTTTGCTTTACAGAAATGTTTTATTCAATAATGCCCCCATAACAAAAAACTGGATATCCATATTAGGTGTTTCTGGTTTTGGTTCAGGTTCCCGTTCAGGTTCTGGTCCTGGTTCAGGTTCCGGTTCCGGTTCCGGTTCCCATTCAGGTTCTGGTCCCGGTTCAGGTTCTGGTCCCGGTCCAGGTTCTGGTTCAGGTTCCCGTTCAGGTTCTCGTCCAGGTTTCGACACTGGTTCAGGTTCTGGTTCAGGTTCAGGTTCAGGTTCAGGTTCAGGTTCTGGTTCAGGTTCAGATTCTCGTTCAGGTTCTCGTTCTTTCCTTCTGTTCAGCTGTCCACTTCCAAAAAGCTGACAATCTCCGAATCTCTCTATGGTTGGCAGTGAGGGCTACAAATACGGCGTGATTTTCACTTTCTATCAGACCAGATGTTGCACTACGGCAGTTCTCATTTCTAAAACAGACATTTTTGCATGCATTTACTTTGCTTTCTGCAATAACTAATGAAAAATATTCCTTGTTAAAAAGACATGAAATGAGGCACAATCTCATTGCATTATTGAATAAGTGCCACCTCCTTTTTTTTTAAATCATTTTACTCCAAGCATGGTGACAATTCCACTAGAACGCGTTGGCTACAGGTGGTGAAAGAGAATGAGAAAACTTTAGTGAGAAGAATTGAGGGAAAGGGCAGTAAAGTTAGTAGCCCGCTAAAATTCATGCAGTCGAGTTAGTAGCCTGCTAAAATTCATGCAGTCGAGTAAGTAGCCAGCTAAAATTCATGCGGTCGAGGTAGTAGTCCGCTAAAATTCATGCGGTCGAGGTAGTAGTCCGCTAAAATTCATGCGGTTGAGGTAGTATCCCGCTAAAATTCATGCAGTCGAAGTAGTAGCCTGCTAAAATCATGCAGTCGAGATAGTAGCCAACTAAAATTCACGCAGTCGAGGTAGTAGTCCGTTAAAATTCATGCAGTTGAAGGAGTAGTCCGCTAAAATTCACGTAGTCGAGTTAGTAGCCCGCTAAAATTCACGTAGTTGATGCAGTAGCCCGCTAAAATTCACGTAGTCGATGTAGTAGCCCGCTAAAATTCATGCAGTTGAGGTAGTACCCCGCTAAAATTCATGCGTCGAGTTAGTAGCCTGCTAAAATTCATGCAGTCGAGATAGTAGCCCACTAAAATTCACGCACTCGAGGTAGTAGCCTGCTAAAATTCATGCAGTCGAGATAGTAGCCCGCTAAAATTCACGCAGTCGAGGTAGTAGCCTGCTAAAATTCATGGAGTCGAAAAAGCTTATCAGAACAGTTGGTATGAAAATATGTTTAGAAAAGACAGAGAGAAGCCGCCCCACAACAGTGTGAAAGTGATTGAAGCTTAGATACCAGGTCAGGATCGATTATATTGCAGACTTTTCTTTGAATTTTGTCAAAAATCTCTAGATAT